GAGTAGGGCGGGTCACGACTTCGCCATCCTGGGGAAAAAATGATTCATCCAAACTGTGATGTGACTCTGGAACAAGTCGCCAGCGATTTGAATGAATTTTCTCCTGCAGTTGATTTGCTTAAAGAATGGGACTGATTACCGTATCGGACAACTGAAGTCTGTCTTTTATTGTCTCAGTGTGGAACCTCTCCCCAGTCCCCATGATGCATCCAGATAACTGATCTATTCGTTTGTTTGTTTTCTTTATTCTAAATTCATTTCATGGTTAAATGTGAACTGCCTGCAGGCCTCATTCCACTAATTAATGAGCTGCTTTAATGTGCTTCTCAGTAATTCATCATTTAATATTGATCAAATATTGAAGACCCAGGTGAGACGCCTGCTCTCATTTTGTCAATCAAGAGTTTAAAGTTACCTGTTCATTTATTCATCGCTGAACAAGGCACTGTCAATCACTGCGACAGCTTTTTAAATGCTGCTAATCTGAGGAGGAGGAGGAGGAGGAGGAAGGGTTTCAGTCAGATACTGGACTCTGCTGGAGGAAGGTCGGAGCTCTCTGATGAAATATTATTCTTGATATCTGTCATTAATCTGATGACGGTGTTAGTATCACAGTCTCTAAGCATCAGAATATTAAAGTAACTGGATTACTTTCTGTTGGTTGTGGATTACATCAACAGCACATAAATAAAAGGAATATCTTTGGGGTTTTCTTGAGTTGTTTCCTGTTTTATTTTGTAATTTTTCCTATCTGTGTCTCTCGTTGTCCTTCCCGGCTGCATATGCAGCAGTGCAGCGGTCAGAGACTTCCTGTGTTACAAGAGAAAAGGTCCGTGTTGCAACAATCCTCTGATACTTTGGTTTCGGGACAAGGAGCAGCTGCTGATGCAGTTTAATGTTAATGACAGCCGTAATAAATGCTGTAAAGCACCTGACCTCCGTCGGTCTCGGAGGGTGTGAGCCCGGCTGTAGTTCTGGTGCTCAGTGTAAACACCCCTTAGCTAAACCTTCCTCACATCAGAAATGTGTGGTTTCCATCGTCTGACCTTTGACTGGAGCTCTTTTAATGACCTCGTCATCTTCTGTGACGGTTTCATGGATCAACCAATCAGCTCATTTTAAATTTCCCCCTCGTTCCTCCTCCTTCTGCCTCGTTCTTTGTCTCCCTCTCTCTATTTATCCCTCCCTCCGTCTCTCTCTCTTGTACACTCTGTCATTACTCAGGTGTTATCAGATCACAGAGTGCAGGTTGATAAAGGTTAGCTGTGTGTTCACGTTATTCTCTCTCCGGTGACTAATGCCTCAGATTGAGCTGGATCGAGCGTGTGTGTGTGTGTGTGTGTGTGTGTGTGAAATGCGGCAGAAGGGAGTGGGTTCACATGAGGAGACCGACACTGCAGACACTGAGCCACATGTGTTCGGTCTATAGCGTTCGCAGCGGCGGGAGGGGCTCCGAGCTGTCCTTAAGTGACACACAGGAGCTGCTGCTGGTGTCCTCAGACGCCACTCGCTTCCCCACTCGCCCCCTGAAACAAACGTGCCCTCCAGCTGTGTGTCTCCAGCTACAGCGGCCACCAGTCGGATTACTGATACAGTGCTCACCTTCTGTCACTATGAGTCTGTTCATTCATCATTTCATGTGTTCACTTCCTGGTTTATTTTATGTTAGCCCGTGTCTGTTAAGTTGTACAGTGGTCAGTCCCTTCTGCGTCCCTCCTGTCCACCATTTTCCTGGTGTCTGCTGAACTTGGGTTTTTGGATTTGTTCGCCTGTGCTGGTTGGAGTTCTGGTTCAGTTATAACAACGTCCTCACGAGCTTGACGCTCAGAGGGAAAAGGTGTGTAAGAAAGTTTAAAGTACGCAGTTAAAACGACAAAGAGCTAACGGAAGAACAGAGCAAACATCAGGGAAAAGAAAGCTTCTGTCAGAAAGAAGAATATTAAGTCTGATTGTTAAAAATAAAAATATACAGAATACAGAGAACGTATCAATATATCAGGAAAACTCATCTCTGATCAATATATCAGGAAATAATCAAACTTCCTGCAGTGATTGAGTTCACTGTTAGGGTTTAGTGGACAGTGTGTTAAAGCTGCATTCTCTCTAACAGCCAGCAGGGGGCAGCTCCACTCTGATAGTATTGAGTCTTAGGGAGATTAATGAGCTCAGTAAACAGTTTCCTGATGAGTTTCTGATCTCAGTCTCTAGTTTCAGTCTTCTTCCATACAGCATGATGTTCATTTAGTAACTGATGGTCCCATTTAGAGTCAAACAGACCATGATATGCTTTCTAGGCGGGCTACCTTTTTTTTTTTGTGATGACAGCTCATTCTCTGAGTGCCGTCCGCTCAACATAACGAAAAATACACTAAACACAAATATACAAAATAACCTACTGGAACTTCCCATCTCAAAACTTTATCAGATGTTTTTCATTGACAATTCATGGCCAAGACCCTTTTATTTGCCATCTTTGGGTGGCGGGGGTTAATAACAATAATCTAGTCAGTACAAAAACTTTAAATAACAAAAATTTGTTACTTATTTGGCAAGAATGTTGATTCTTCTTCAGTGGAAGTCACCCCCCCGCCCCCGACCTGGACTCGATGGATGCAGGGATGTGCTGCACCTCTTGAGCATGAGAAACTAGAGATTTACAGATGAAGCTCCTTGGCCATTGTTTTAAAAGTCTGCAGCTACTGATAGACATAATTATCAAAGACAAGCTTCACTCCCCCATTCTCATTGCTCGACAGTTAATCCTGCTTTAACCCTGGAATTTCTCTGCAGCCATTATCATTTATTGTTACTTAATTTCTTTTTTAATCCCACTCAAGTAAATCTGATGTTAACCCTTTTTTTTGTAACTGTCCTGTTCCTTCTCTGTTTTTTCTTATGTTATTTTGTATACACAAACAATAAAAATATGTTAAAAAATTATATATACAAAATACACTAAAACACATTGAAGCACGCGAAAAAGACGTCCAAAACAACAACGCTGGTGTGTCTCTTGTGGTGTGTGTGTTGTGTCTGGTGTGTGGTGTGTGTGTGTCTGTGTGTGTTTCTCTGTGTGTGTGTTCTGATGTTTCTCTGTGTTGTGTCTGGTGTGTGTCTTGTGTGTCTCTGGTGTGTTCTACTGTGTGTGTGTGTGTGTGTTCTCTGTGTGTGTCTCTGTGTGCGTGTGTCTGTGGTGTGTGTGTGTGTGTGTTGTGTGCAAGGTCTCCTCGTGTTCCTGCTCGGTAATGGCCGTTAACACCACAGTGGCCACATCCTTCGCAGCCTGAGGAGACCGGAGAGACGTACAGGAATCCCCCCGCTCCACTGATCCAGCTTGACCTTAGATTATTGTTGTCATCTCTTT